AACAAACCACTTCAGTGGTCGAAGCCACTCGAATGCAAATTTAATGAGTTATTGGGGAAATTTGCCCCAAATCTAGGGTTTTGGCCCTCATGGAAAGGGGATTTGTGCCGCCTGTAACATCTCCCCCATCACTAGTCAAATTCTAACAACAAAAAAAGCGGTGGGACCCGGTTTTGTCTATTCTCCCTTCTCCCAGTAGAGAGGTCTACTTCAGATACGACAGACCACTTCGTGAGGAACGTTCCAGAGACTTCTCGTCTACGGCAATTGCGTTCCTTTTGCTAATACCCTTCTTGCGCATTACCTGACTGAAGCATTTCTCACTTCAGACGCATTTTTCAGCCTTTAGGTCGGAAATTTTCACAACTCCTCATTTCTACAGTATTTGCCACTTTCCTGGCCCGTTTTACGGTGCTGCAAAGACAAAGTCTAGCATTTCATCAAACAATCCTATTGACTGAAGACTAATTCACGAATGTTTAACATCTCAGTAAAATGAGCTTTTTAAAAGATTCGACTGGGCTACTTAGTGTGAGGATTGTTGCTTCTGTAGTAGCAGGGAAACCACAATTTCTCGGAGTATACTGGTACACAGTTCTTGCCACTAGACTGTTAAAGGTTCGTCCAAATGTACCTTCACATGCTATTGCGATGAAGAAAACAACTCTCCACGCTTTGATTCTTTTGACTTATTATTCAGTGGTCTGCTGAGAAATCCCGTAAAAGCTTTACAAGGCAAGACTTCTGCCTGCTAATAACCTTAACTGGCATTCTGCTGCCCAACAGACGGTAGTCTTATTAATCGAAAAGTCGGATAGAAATATAGAGCTTATTGGTAAACAATGATTAGTGGCAAAATAAACAATGAATTACTTTAACTGCTTCTTATTAGCCTATTTTTCTGATCGGTTGCTTGAATGTTTAATCCCTTCGTCGCCGTCCAAATACGGAGTCTTCTTTCAACTTCAATGCCGCCTCGGGACCCGCAATCATACTTCTCACTAATCCCACTCTCTGCTTATATAAAACCGCCCTCGCATTAGTTAAATCTATTTTTACTTTCTTTTTCTGGCTGCGAGTTGCAAACCCATTTGCCATCAAAGATGAGACATAATGCGTGGCGTATAAGAGACCCAACTGTCCCACTGCATGCGATTGAAAAGTTCACCGTCGATAGCAGTGATGATACCAGCGGCGATGGAAGATACTGGCTAAAACAGGCGGAAAGTGCATTGATTGCTGCAAAATGTACAGAATCAGATCAGAGCTCGCTGCTATTGTACAATCAGTGCATCACACCCAATTATTTGATCCAAAAATGGGATCAATTCTTTTGTGCTCACAATAAGGAACAAAGAACCACAAGGCTCAGAATGGAGCAAAGCTGCCGTTTCAAAAATACTTGAGGGGTTGTACGAAAAACGTCGAGTATTTGCTTTACTCTGATTCTTGTTAGTTTTCCTCAAATATCAGTACGTTCTCTGGTCCAGATTTATGATATCTCTTGTTTCCAGCACAGGCTTCATGCACTAACATCGAATACGCTATGAAGAAACAAACGCCCGGTGATCAAACTTACCGCCTACATTAGTATCACTAAGACTTTTAAGTAAAGATAGCTAAGCTCCTTTGCTGTTAATGCAGACTGTACGTACACATACATTAGTATATGCAAGACTTCCAGACAGTCCAGGTTTTGCGTTGGACCGTGATAGTTACTTCCTCAAATGTCTAAAAGGCTGAGCACTACGCATTCCTCTTTCTGTAATCTCTTAACAAGCCTTAACGTCCTGATTGAAAGGTATATGCTGCAAATGACTAGCTTAGCAAAGATGTCTGACTACCGTTGAGCCCCAATATTGCGTCCAACAGAAATGGTATTAACAAGTGAGATGCATCTTGACTGAAGATGCAACACTGTTTACTTGACTACATTTGCACCTGGGGATGACTTTGGTGTTTATCTTGCTTTAGCTGGGTAAAATGGTCTTAAAAGTAAGCCAAAGCCCCATGACTTCCTATTCTCGCTAATGCAAGCGTTTGGCCAGGCCTAGTGCCTTCTACCACTAAATATGAAGTCCCGGAAAGTGGCAGAATAAATTCAGGAAATTCAGTTATATTTTTGCAGTGACATAATTTAATTAGTCTTTACAACGCAAACTGACCTAAAATAAAAGGATAAGGGGAGAGTACCAAACCAAGAATAGAATGCTAACGTTATTAACCTACACTAGGTTCTTCCACCAACAACAGGTGTGTAACGCCTAACTTTGAGCACGAGGAAGGTTGCAAACAAGTAAATGCACCATCAGGGTGCATTACTAGTTCAAGGCTTCTTCTTCATCTGACTTAAAGTAAGTAAATGCAGTTTTGGGTTATCCATTGTCTGTTAAGACTTCAATAGTGTTGCGACGGCCGTAGCAAAGACTGATTTGCAGTAATCTAAAGATGATGGTCAACATGAAACCACTGTATAGGGTTTAATGTATTTTTAACTATATTAATGACGGCACTGAAAATCAAACCCCAAATGCTGTTAGTTTCCTGTGGCATAGTGTGTTATATTGAAAGGCTCGCGGCGCCACTGTCACAGAAGAGTACTTGTTTAAAGTAAATAAATGAATTATGCTCCAAGTTATTATCTAAAAGGTGAGTTAGAATTATTTCTGAGGTGAACTATTTTGCTGATTGCCCCCTCTAAGCCAAATTATGCTACGTTCAGTAAATCGCAGGTTCACTGAAAAGTAAATAAAGAGGCTACACAACTGACTCTTTGAAAAACTGCTTGAACTCCGGCTGAAGTTTTTCTCACACTTCACATTCTCCCGAAGTGTTATTTTAACTTGTCTGTAACGAGCCTTGGATTCCAGAATTATTCGACAACTTTGTATACTTTCGAGAATTCTCTAGGGCAGATAGAAGCCTCCTTTGCACAGATTGTTGATTCAACAATCCGTGTTTAAAGGCCATTAAAATACTAAACATGCATTTACAGGACGCCCAAGCGAATTCTCTATAAGGGCGAAGGACTAGTTAAGGATTCAACATTGCAATTTTCTCTATCTTCACCATATTTTAACGAGTACTTGGTGCAAATCACCACATGTCTTAGTTTTACAGATCTATTTTCTCATGAGGTTATGTTACTAATCCCTAGAATCTTGTTAAGCTGTACAAAAGTTGTGCCCTTGGGAGAAATTAAATCGCAACACCTTGATATGGTGTGTATAATGGACAGAGCTGGAAATCGGGCTTCACCTAAATTCGATAAACTTTTTGACGAGCCTGGTTCCTCAAATTGCATTAAGGGATTTTACGACGAGGTTGCAAAGGATAAGACAAAGTTTTCCCTTTTCCAAAGGAAAGAGTCGCGGATTTACCATATGCGCAACTTGAGCAACTGGATAAAAGGCACACTGATAGCGCGATACCTTGATCTTGTATATGAAAGGAAACGAGGGGACCGAGTGGATATCTTGGACCTTTGTTGTGGTAAAGGTGGAGATCAAAAAAAGTGGCAAGTTGGCCGCGTCGACCATGTTACTTTTGTGGATATATCAAATGCATCTGTTGATATCTGTAAAGAGAGATATGAGTCATTGAAATCCGGGAAATCTCGTAATCGTCTTTATTCTGCAGATTTTATGGTGCATGACTGCACCACTCCCCTCAATTTGGGGCGGTTCTACAGTATTGTGAGCTGTCAGTTTGCACTCCACTATGCTTTTGAAACTATTGACAAGGTAGTGTTTGTTGTTCATTATTTTGATGGAGCTATATCATCTATGATGAATTACAATGCTTGGTCGATGCATAAAATATTTTCCCTATTTTAAGAAATGTAGATCTACCATTGATGTTTCATCCAGTGCATAAATGGCTTTATTCAGCATGTAATCTACCTTCACATTTGGCAAAAACAAAAAACATGCTGTTAAATCACAGCGCGTTATTGGAAATGTCTACTTGACGTTGACTTTTAGAATTGCTTTGTGTCACTTATAATTTCTAACTGGCTCAAATGAAAACTTTCTCAGGTGTTCTTGTCTTTACCTCTTTTTTCGAGGCTCGAAATCTACTCCGAAATAGTAGTCAAGCTTTGGAAGAAGGTGGTTACTTCCTTGTTACCTTACCCAACGCATATGAAATCTTAAAACGATTAAAACAGAGCAAAGACGGGCGATCATTCGGGAACTCTGTTTACTCAATTATTTTTGACAAATCTCACACTGCTCATCACCCTCCATCGCTCTTTGGGGAACGCTACCATTTCCAGTTGGAAGGTGTGGTTGATTGTCCCGAATATCTGGTTTACCCTCCTCTCTTGATTGACATGGCGAAAGAGGTGTGTTTGGAGTGCGTCGAGGGTCCTCTCCCCTTCGCTGCGTTCATGCGCAGGGCTATGCAGGATCGCCCAGAGAACATGGATCTCCTGCGAACAATGGACGCCCTGGAGTTGTGGCCATCATTGTACACCTCGAGGCACTCTCCACCTTTGCCCTCATTGCCCCACTATGGCAGTCGTCGCCGCGATCGTAGTAGGAGTCCCATCGATCAGTGCGAGAGGACCACGGGGCAGAACGCGGAAGGAAAGTCTATTGTATCCATGACTATTGCCGACGATTACGCCCATGTGGAGAAGAGACAAGACTCCCTGTGTCTACCCGTCGGCACCATTTCCAAACAAGAATGGGAAGCTTTTTGTGTATACTGTGTTTTTGTGTTTAAAAAAGTGACATCCAATAAACGGTGCGCGTCATGATTTTGGTTTTTTAGTTAATGTCTGGATGTTTATTGCGGTAGCCATCGGTCATGAATTAGATTCCAATCTTTCCCATTCATCATTTTGGGAACTCCACAGTTATTCGACCTATCGTAAAACGTACTTCAATTGATATTCGTGGTATGTTTAAGCTCCAAACTCTGCGTTTTTGGTTCTAATTTGTTGTGGTGCCTGACGTCATGGCGTCTGCCGTATTTTTGTGCCTCCTTTTTTGTAATGACTCACCGCACGTTAGAATAATGTGTCTTTTGAAGCTAATTACATCATCGCTAATAAAGGCTCGATCCTCATTATTTCGTATGACTGTGTTTAGCTTCACGGGCTCGAACCAGCAGATTCCGGAGAGTCTTCTCCAATTGCTGACGTACAAGGGTGCGAAGTACGCTCACCCAATGACCAACCAGAATAATTATAGACACCGTGATTAAAAATCACATGCATCTGCACTGTCTGATTGTGCTTTGCCATGTGGTGACAAGTCTCTTGCTTAAATTTGATATATATTTACCTACAAGTAATGAAGAAGGAAGAGCGGATGCTCAACCTCAAAAATGGGGAACCCTGAGAAATCAAAATACGACCGTTTTTCGAAGTATCTACTAGCTTTTGGTTTTGTAGTTGGGCTGAGTTTCCTTGAAATAATCTTGAGATCACGATTTGATTGTAAGTAGAATTGTGGTTTCGTGTAACACTCATAATGTGCGAGCCTAACCTAGATTCCTCGTTAACTTTGAAGCATGTGAGTAGGGTGATGATTCGCGATGTCATTCTAGAATAGCACACCTATCCAAGGTCTACTTTGCAAGCGTAGTGGCACACATGTCTAGAAGGCTTGTCCCCCGAAAGAGGCGATGCATTCTCTAAATGGGCTCATGTACAGGTAATCACTTGACTTATTGCATAAAGCTTCCCTTCTCCGGTATCACCTGTCGCAAAGATCCTTACCCAGCATTGGACAGAACCACGGACAGACAAAAGGCAGTGGTATGTACGCGCACTTTTAAAACTTTGTTTCCAAGGTTAAATGACACTAGTGTATGAGGTGAGGTGATGAGGGACAAGGAGGGTAAAGGAAGGGTCTGCTGCCACAAAGTCCAAAGAAAGCAAAAGAGGGAAGAGAGAGGTAATGAAGGTGTAAGCATGGACAAAAACAGCGCAAGTGGGTGTGCTTGTGAATGTGCGCGTGTTCGTGTGCGTAATTTCTTATGTACAAGAATAGCCCAAAACCCAGATCAACATCAACGGTAATAATCGGAATCCGTATACCAAAATAAAGCGATTCAAGGAAGAGGGAGGGAGACTGATTTGTGCGGAGGAAAGAGAAAAGTGTCGATGGTAGTGGGCAGTGTAGGATCATTTAAAAAGCAACTAACGGAAGTGGTGGAACTTGATAGAAAGAGGGAGAGAATATGACAGGTACTTCCAACATTACTACTCCTGCAAAAAGAGAGCCGCGGAGGCTTCTATGTCCTTTAAGGGACAGAATGGCTTCTGCACAGATGATCCTGAAGATAGTAGGTCACCGGAAGTAGAGTCCTGCATCACGTCTGCCAGGTTTGGTATCGTCCGAAGGTCGTCACTGTTTGGAAAAAGCATGTTTGGCGTCTCTGCAACTTTCATCGGGTCGCTATCAAAGACTCGACCAGGAGGGGGGCCGTTTATTGATTGGTCTGGACCCTCCACAATCCCAGTAGCATCATCGGAACCGGCCAATAGCTCCAGCTCAGGAGCACTAAGGAGAAGCGCCTCCTCAATGCTTGCCGCCTTGGAGCGCGGGGCGTCCGAACGGGGTGCTTGTTGTACGGGTGAGGGCGAGAGCAGTTGACTGATTTGAGAAGAGGTGGATGGTTGTGACTGCTGTTGCGGCTGCCCACCCGACACTACGGTCTCATCTACTGGCAGACCATCAGTCTGACCAAAGAAAGCAAAGCCATCGCCAGCACCAGCTCCACTACCGCTTGACGATGGCAGTGGTGTAGGCTGTGGGTGCGGTGCCGACTGAAGTTGCTCCATCAAGGTCGGGTCAAAGAGCATAGAAGATGTAGTTGTGCCGATATCTGGAGACATCTTAGAACTGGACTGGGGGTTACCCAAGAAATCAACTGAGTGGCTAAGACCTGGACCCCATTGCGGTTGTTGCTGCTGCTGTGAAGGAAGCAGGCCTGGAGGATAAAAATAAAAACAAGAAAACACGTAGTGTTTAAAAAATGACCACAAGGTTGGGATGCTCCAAGTGTGATTAAACTAACTAAAATCAAGAATTTATTTTAATATGGAAGACTATTTTCGGCCTTCAAAGTGGACTCGAAAGAAAAAGAATCTTGTAGACATCTTCGCATTCATGACAAATTGTTCCAAATAATATAATGTCCCTTCCTCACAAGTGAGATGCCATATGAACTCAAAATTCCACGGTTCATGACTGTATGGGAATGTTTAGGCTATCAGATCATAAATGTGAGCATTAAAGTGAGGCTTTGCAAATTGTAGTTGCGTAAATGGAGCCCACCATTAGGCGTACAAGGTGACATCTTGAGAGGAAGGGAGCGCTGCTGTTGAAAGGGGTGAGGACGACCGAATTGTTGATGCAGGCTTGATTGGAAGTCGCCATTAGGAGAAGAGCCTGAGAAGGAGGAGGAAGTGGTGGAGGATGAGGAATTGAGGGATCCAACTGCGTTGCCATTTGCCACCAAGGCTCCTCGTGGTCCCATTGGGCGTGGCTGATGTCTCAGTGTCACGGTAGGAGCCGATGCAATGGGGAGAGATGGAATGTTTGAGTTGGGGCGGAATGCAGCAGCGGTGACGGCAGATGGGGAAGACAAAAAGGCCTCCAGATGTTGTTCACCCATAGGCACTATACCAGGTATCTGGCCAAGAGAAGACGTGATCTGATACATCATGCGTACTTAATCAGTTTTAGTAGAATAATTAGGCACCCACCTTATCATTAGGGCGCGAGATTCCAGGCGGGTACATTGGACGAGGTTGGGAGACGTATTGCTGGTGTTGAAGCATGGAAGGTGGAGCGTTCCGACCCTGAACATAGTGTATGCCCGGACTCGGCATTGTTGATGGCTAAAATACATCGTATAAGGACATCTTGGAAAACTTTCCCATGTTAACAAGCCAAATTAAAGTGGAAATTAGCATTCCATATCAAAACTCGTCGTGAAGTGGAGCAAAGGAATACAACATCCTTCGACAACAATGAAGAATCTCTTGCTTCTTGAAATATTTATTGTACTGAGGTCAACTTAGTGAAACAAGTTAAAAACTCCACCACAATCACCTAAACATTAAAGCGAAACAAATAACCTACTCAATTCACTTCGCGTTTCCCATACAACACCGAATTCAAACAGAAATCAACACCGAATTCTCCCTGCTGAATAAAGCACATCGATGAGTAAACTCGTGTTTGCTAACCCTCCAAAATACGCGCATATGAACCTGCAAACAAAGTTGTTACTCTCTTGGAGGCATATTATTCTGCTCCAAACGCGATTGGATAGGGAGAGCATCAACACGAAGGGAAACTACATTCGCGATGGGTTTCTTTGCCAATAGGCGCTACAAATAAGTAGCTTGTGGAGGTGCGATACAAACATGAAATTTTTGTAGCCACAGTACAATTACCTCATAGTGCATCAAAATTAGCCGCTTGTTGGCCGACGATCACCTAAGTCTGTGCCTGCACCCCCCGTGTGCTCTCTGCCCATTGCGTTTGGATCACTCCGGTTAGGACGCGAATCACTGATAAGGAAACTTAGCAGAAGTTAGTTGGAAGTGATTTTCACATACGCATTCACATATCATAGGGTAAAAGTGCATTCACTTTCACCCATTTTTTTGTACCAAAAGCACGCCAAATCACCAATAATTCCTGTAGAGAAAATCCGCAGAGAACGTTCCCCAATACTTCCGAAAATGATGATTAATCTAATGAAAAAGGCAATGACTTACGTGCCTTCACAAACAGGGAAGCCATGAAAGAACAATCTAATTTTACCGACGCTAGAGCTAATTCTGGTTTGTTCTAAGCAAGAAGCCCATTTTACGAAATCCACTTTGATCCTCAAAAATATCCCCCTCCCCCCAAAAAAAAGATTTGGACATAATTGATCATCCATGAGAGTATCTCCGTGTGGCAAAGCTTATCATTTTTCAACGACCGCGCCTTCATCCATGAGTACTTTTACAGTCTAAAGTACACGTTGGTTCACAAGAGCACAACCATTCTGCAAATGATAGTTGACGACCCCAGCATTCTAAGATAGCACTGCCTGGACCGGAAAATAGTAAATATGCAATCAATTGCAGAAGGATGAGCAGTCAATAGAAAATAGAAAACTGTACAGTTTCATCGTGAAGCAAGTGAAGAACTGTCCAGCACTCAATTGAACACTTAATGGGTGGTACGTTATAGTGATGCAATTGGGAGAGGAAAATACACATGATGCCAGAACCGGCATTCCCTTGGAGGGAACAGATAATTGTTGTCTTAAAAATAGCTTAATTAAAAATTAATTTTACAATCCCTGCCCATACGAGGCGCGAGGAGATAATTTCCCGGACCAGAAAAGCAGAGCTCGGCCAAGGAGAAAGTCCACATGCTTGTAAAGTTTCTCCGATATTCGTATGGCTTGGTGAATTACTTCAGGTAACACAGGCAAATAGTGCGAAACTGATCCCTCGTTGAAAGAGCGAGTGGCTTGTTCACTACTCGTTATCGAAACTAGCGGGCATGAAATGGATAAAGATCGATACGATTATGCAAAGAGCCTGTTAGGATAGCCATAAAGGTAATTCCCTAGGCCGTCAAGACTTGAGGACCTTTATTAAGCCCGTTTACACTGAAATGCTTGTGCCTCGATAGCCAACGACTGTGTCACGGATGGGCAGAAATGTACCAGAGCACAGAAAAGTTCCAAAAGAGGTGCTGAAAACGCTTTGGAGCTGATAGAGATGGAAGCCTAGGCTGAAGTAGGTCGCATGAGCTCCCGATGCGTTTGCCGAGCTTATAATGCACATGCAAGACCGTGACCAATAGTGGACTTTATTTTCCACCGCTTGTCCCTGATTGGTTAGGCATATCAACAAAGTACACACTCGATTAGCCTTAATCAACACCTATGACAAATTCGTGCTTTATAAATACGATGACGAGCAATGAGCTGCTGCACAATTTAGGTAAGAATATGATTACAAACCCACTGAAAGTTGATATAGGATGAGAAAAGGTCAAACGAAACAAGAACACTATTCACACACCAAGCCTTAACCATGCCCTTAAAAAGTGCAGTCCCGTGATCGTCATTTAAAATCGATAGCGCAAGCACAGTCTGAGCCAAGAGTAAATGTGATATTAGATTATGAGGGAGGGCCAGAAAGCCATGCGTGCAAGTGCTCGTGCTCACTAAGCAGCTAAGCCACACAGCAGTGCGTAGAGGGTAAAATCAATGAGGACAGGTTTATTTCGGCTCTGCATATCGTGGTGATGGCAGTGGACATGCGCACACATACACATAAAGGCTGCCGACAAAAGACGGATCGTGTGAGAGGGACACACACACAAGTGTACAAACATGCGCATACACGCGCGCACACACATGAGAGGGCTGGTGACATAATAATCGGTTGCAAGGCACACCCAGAGAGGGAAGACTAAGCCATACGCATGCGTGCACCAACCGCGCACGCACGCACGTGCGCACGCAGTAATTGGAGCTCATGTGCTCGGCTGCTAATTGGTGCGCGAGTGCGTGCTTGTGCGCGTACACACGCACCCACAACACACGGGATGGACGAGCAAAGTGAAGTAAGGATAAGCAAAAGAGCAAGAATGCCACATCAAAAAGGACTCGATATCAGGAGAGAACATTCCTATGGTAAACTAGGCACGGAGTATTTCATTTTTAACGAATAAAAAGTATGCGTTGAGGAAAAATTCGAGAAACGCGGACAGAGTGGAATAATAACCGAAAAAAGATTGAACCCTAAAGGGAGTCTATAGTGGAATACGAAGGCAGAGATCGCGATAAGAAACACCGCTTATCAATCGCATGAATTGTAGACTCGTAATTGGGTAAGTAAATTTAATTCGTGTAGCAAAGACAACTTAGTGATCACAACAACACAAAAAAGTGGATCAGAATGTGGAGGACACTGACCTGTGGACAGTTGGGAACAAAGCCTGGATTGGCCAAACCCTACAATGGGGAGAAAATCATGGTAGTGAGAGAGGGTAGAAATAGAAAATGCTATACCAGTAAAAGTATGATGGTACGAACAAGCTTGGCATGCCTGCACAGACCGGGGAATTGACGACTAAGGTTTGATTTGTATTGACTACACAACCGAACTAAAGATCCCTTTACAACTTCATCACGCGATATGACTGGTTGCAGTCCATACACAATGCGAACCGTGCGTAAGTCGAACACACACCTCTGGCACTAAGCATTAAAAGGTTTGTTGTAGAATCAATCGGAATGGAACCAAACCAAAGTACCCAAGCTATCGCCCACAAGAGGCACTCAGGTGAAAGCTAACCCATTGATTGATAGATTAAAAGCAAAGACGTACACATACGCACACCCGCACGGGCACACAATTTGAGGACTCAAGACATCACAATTGGCCACATACATAAGCACATGCATGTCTGAAGCAAAACAAACGCAGAAGTGGAGTGACGAATAAAATAAAGGCAACGCATAAACTCACGTAGTCGTAGAAAGCGCGAGCATCAGGGGAGTGCTTAAGAACATCGCGTCTCTCCGGTGCGGCGCAATAGAGATCCCAGAACACACTAAATAAGGGAGAAGGGGGTGGTGAGCAATTTTACCCCCTTAACTAGCACAGACTACAACCGCATTTGATCAGATGATGATGAGACTTAGCAGCTGACCCAAATGTGCGGCAAACAAAGTTACTTCAAACACTGCAGAGCTGGAGGAGATAACAAAACTAGTTGTGAAATGAAGTGATTACGCGACGGTCTCTAATGCAACGCTAAAATCTGCGGATGGTGGACAGGGGGCTACCGGCTGACTTCCGTTCCCATTAAGCCCATTTTGAGAGGAAATCAAAGAAAGGGCGAGAGAACTGCAGTTATTAATTATGTAATGAACTACTTCTGTTATCGATAACACAGCGAATGCTTTTGAGTAAGCTAAGGGAAACAGAGAACTCAATGTTGCGTAATAAATCAAGGCATGTGGGAGGGAGAGGAAGGCTAGGGGTTGTGAGAGGCTCTAAGCCACGCCCTGCAAAGGCCCTAAAAGTCGACCACTGTACAGCTAACTGAGGCCACACTACCTATCGCACGTGAATTGAGAAACGAGGTGTGTATGCGCGGGTGAGTGTGTGGATTTAGGACTCGCCCCACCACCACTACCACCAGCAGTGCTAATAGCGTAGAGCATTTCTACGTATTTGTGCCACCACCACGGTATGTAGCACATGTGCTTTACCTTCAAGTGTTTATCAAGACAAGTAGATCTGACCGGAGCCCTATTCTTGAGGCTTGAAATACAAGTAAGTCAGCAGCCTTGTTTATCGTGAAGTGAAATGATGTAAATAGAACTGGCCACCGTTTCTTAGAGGCCATGTAATTCCGCTTTCGGGGAGTAGACGACCGACAAGCCAGCATCGAACACTCAAATTAGCTTGCCCACGCGAAGAACAAAATAGGTTTCAGCTTGAAAAGCAATGAGGGCTAACTCGAAGAGGGTGCCCGGAAAAACCCGGATATGCTGACGCAAGTAAGTTGCAGTCGTGCAATTTAGCAAGCGATCAAAGTCAAGGGTTGGATATGAAGTATTAGTAGAAAGTAAAATTGTGACATATTGGATGCAAATAAGCCGAGTTGTCGACGTAACTACGCCATGTTGAAAACAGCCAAAAGAGTACAATAATTGATGAAAGTAACGAGCTTACCTCCACCATGAAAAAAGGAAACCAGGAGCCTCGTTGGGAACAATATGCTTCTCCCATCCAATCTTAAAGGAAAAAAAGTAACGTGATGTTGAGAAATAAAGTGCGTTTGTGAACAGTTTAAATATGCTTCCACAAATGATTCAAGACTATTTAGTATCAGAAAGCACTAAAAAGCTAGCGCTCAATAAATCTGAAGCCTTCAACTTTAGGTGTTTTCGTGGTAGATTTTCGAAGCTTACACAAAACTATACAACTTGAACACGAAGTGAAAAAAAATGGAGTGTGAGGAGCACAGGAAAAAAGAAAAAGGATAGACTCATCGTTATTTTAGGTGCATTAAGGAGGTGGTCATTTAACCGGGATAAATAACGACGCACCGCCAGCAATCTTATTTTATGGCTCCAATGCATTAACCACAACAACGCGCTGGGCCCGACTCCAAGCCACTCTGTGTGGAGTAATCGTTACTCAAGCACACGCTATTTACGGGACGGCCCCCAACTTATGCAAGCAATACGTGACCGAACAGGAGGTAAATGGATTAATCCGCCACGAGCGGTGTGCGGGAGATCAAGTATAGCTAGGAAAAGGACGGTAGAACGTTAGGCAAGGCGTCTGTACGCGCACTAATGCAGCACATGGCTGCAGAGAGCAAACAACTCCATTCTCACCCCAACCTGCATGTAAGGGTTGTCGGTAATGTGCTGCTTCCATAGCCAGAGACCTCAGTAAGGCGATGCTAACGACAGTATCATTGCACGAAAATGCATTCACGTGGAATGAATGGCCGCAAAATAGCGAATCAATGCAAAGCACACCTTCGCACACTTGTTTGAATCGAGGTGACGGGAATCAGAAAACCGATTCAAAGCAGATGCCACTACACATAAAGGCACTGCTTCCACCAAAAACGTCAATCTCCTTAACTGCATGGATATCCAAACGCTATGCCAAATTTTTATGCCATCGTCACACCCCAACTGTCATTTACGAACAGTTCCATTCTTTCGAAGCAGGCTTTAAGTGAACTAAGCATCCAAAATGAGCGCAAAGCTAGACACTGACTCGTGTCTTTGGAAAAAAGCAACTAAAAACGAACACTTTGTCAGTAAAAAATTGGGCTATCAGTTTAATAAACTTGTAGTCGCGGTTGTAGTTGGGGGCACGGCATGCTCGTCAATTGCTGGAGTAGAGTAACCAACTTAGAATCAGTCAAATCAGTTGCAGATGAATTTATTCTCAAAAACTGCCGGTCCTCTGGTGCAATTTATAGACTTCTCATCTACCGCGACCCAGCGTTACAAACACTACTAGTTTAAAAGGACGTTTAGCCTGCCGCCTAGGTATGATGAACTATTATACCTGCCACTTCTAAAGTTACCAGTGTAAATCAAAGTGAACTATTACTTATGACTAAAGGTTAGTGAACTAATGACGTAAGACAGGACGAAAATTACACCGGTAATTGGCGGTAGATATTAACCGAAACGTAAGCCCAGGCTAAGGGACTAATACCAATTTAGAGTTTAGTCAATCTGGGCTGACCTCGGATTCATGTGAAGCCAAGGTGGCACGGGGGCCAAGGGGCGTGCTTTAAATCCACACATAAGCACAGGGCATGCAAGAAAATGCTCACACTCCACCAGGAAACAGTTTATTGCGACCCCGATTTAAGCAATTTAAAAATGGATTTAATAGGACAACAATAAGTGATGCTATAATGATGAGAGGAAAACATCTTGCAGGCACTAGCGGAACGCGGAAGAGCCTTTGTGAAACATAGGAAGTCCAAATGAACAAGGTGAAGTAATGACCCAACAGCAGGGATCATCAAAAGCAAAATGTGCGCACAAAAGGTTGTTTCTTATGATGCATCGAATGAGGGGTGCAACCGGAGATACTCATTTCTTGATCAGACTGACTCATGAAGCAGAATCGGTTGCTAAAGCGTACCTAATGAGAAGGGTTTGGAAAGAATATTTGTACCGCTACAAACCGAATTCTTTTGGCGGTGTTTCTCGTGACATAGCATTCAGGCGAAACCACAAGATCTGAAGTCTTAAACGTAAAAAGATAAAATTTGGCCATTTAACACTAATGAAATGACATGATAACGATATTAACAAATTCCTTGGCTCGGTTCTCATAAGCTATTTCACATAGAAACGGCATCCAAGAGTTTGTGAGACAGACACCATGAATCGACATACAGTGAACGAGCCTTACAATGGATTGTTTTAAGCTCAACAGCAAGGAGTGCCATGAGGGGCGCTAAAAAATGAACGACCCTACATCATAATGAGCCAAAAAATTCACACTTGCCCAGTCTCCAAGACCGCTTTTTGAATAATCTTAGAGACAACCCGGACGCTGCAAATGAGCGCGCAAGCGTATCTATAAGTTGGGTGAAAGTGCACCCGATCAATAAGTTCGTGCCCCAGGCTGATTTAACCAACGGACACACCAATGAAGCATGAGTCACACCGTTCCTCCGACAGGTCGATCTCTAGCAGTTGCAGCTATAGCTACCCGCATATAATAAGGATGACATGGCAAAAGTGGAACTTGGCAAAACTGAAATCATGAAGCAAAACTATGGACGCTGAGAAACTCGAAGCTTAAATGACATAACCCGAAGAGGGAGCATCAAGTACGGTGACCGCACGAGTGTAGAAACCGGAATGTAATGACGATTCGATGGGAGCAATTAACTCTCTAAATTAAACATTGATGATGCAAAATCAAACTAACCTTGGGCGGCACAACCTATTGGCCAGAGGGGCATGAACGCTGGAAAACCAATCAGAATTTTATCACCCAAACACACATCAACACTAGGGATAGGGGTTAAGGAGACAACCTATCAAAAAGCGTAGTTACAGCATAATTTTGTAGGCATCTGTTAAGTACAATGCTAGATGACGGTGAGATGCGAAAAGAACTAGCAGGGAGACGGTGTGATTCATACCGCTTCTACCGGCTCACACCAACCAGCACAGCACACCTGAGACCGACGCAACGCTGTCCTCAAATTGACCCCAACAAGACACGTACAGACGCACGATCGCACAGGCATAGAGCCGACGAATATTAACAATGGTCAAAGCGATAGCGGTTAATGGAACTACTCACTTCCTGAAGGAATGTCTGCGCGGCTTTTTGGGCTCCAGAATAGACCAAGTACTCGTAGACGTAGAGCGCTAACCTATAAGTATGCACAAATTTGTAGTGTGCTCGAGTAAGATTATAGCAGGCAGATAACAAAGATCTTGATTTCAACAAAAATATGACCGAAGTTACACAGGAGGAACAGTTTTGCATCGATTACAGCTGTCAGGCTCATACTAAAGAGTTAAAAGTCGGGGTCGTTTATGCTCAGAAACATTTTATAATTTTGCGAAATAAAGAGCCCTAATTGGTCTACATTTGAACGAAGGTCAAAGGAGTGGGTTAGTCAAAAACAAACGCTAAACGTATAAATCGGAAAAGGGCTGGTTGACAGTTGCATAGGAAAATTCGTAGTTACAGTGACGAGTCTCAAGACGAAACATCCTTAAGTATAACCAAACGAGTATATTCATAATAAATTAAATAACTAAGCGCGAGCGCTAAACTGTCTACGTCTAGCATCAGATAAGTGTGCGGATCAGAGCAAATAAAATAGACAAGAGAAAACGTACAGCGGTTTGCGTTTAGTCACTAAATACCAAGATGTGAATTAACACCCAGGTAAAATTTGAACGAATCACACATAGCAGAGGAAATGAGAATGCAGATCAAAAGAAACCTGCATTAATAAATGTAATTCAACTTCAAAGAGACATGTGAAAACAGCACTAACTTTTCATTAGCCTGAGCGTCAGACGGAGAAGAAAATGATTTCGGCTTGCCGAACATTGAAAGGTGCACACTCCCAAATAAGTACAAATCCAGAACTATGCCAATTCCAACCTTTCAAAGAAGTTAATTAGAGGTTGACGAACCCTGGCACGCGACTGGTACGCCAAACGAGAATGTTCGAGCACACGATTGGCTCAAGTCAAGTAAGGTTTGAGGTTACCCTCCTATTGGGAAATGTGTTTCACGATTTTACTGGATGATATTCCAAGTGTAAGGTCAATGGTAATCAAGAGCTTAAACAAAGTAATATATACCTAAAATTAAAATATTTATTTTACACAATTTTGCAATTATTATGTCAAAACATATATATTTTATATCCCCATGACCATTTACTAAATGGATGCCGCAGGTTTGCTATGCATATTATGAATCGAAGGAGATCAATGGTTTTTTGGAGTATATTACGATAATTATGACCTGATTGGTCTTGTTAGGAGCATATTTTGTGTATTGATGATTTTGACGCTCGTACACTCTTGGTAGCTGATTGAATGTATGAACCTTCTTTGCTATCTTGCTGACACTGTTAGAATGCTTATTGTCTTTGAAATTAACTATTCCTATAGCATTCTCATAATGAATCACTAACAGACATAAGTAGTTGTCTTGTTTTTGCAATAACCTAGCCCTTTGGACCACTATAACCCTCCTCATTTTTTGTTAAATTTGAATCTTGATACCGTTTCTTTACTACATAGCAATAAAGTTGTGCTTTGAATTGTAAGGAAATGTTCTTGGCTATTAACCCTTAGGATGGAGCAAGGACCACAATTGGGCTTACATGCCCAAGTTGATACTTGTGAGGGTTTTCGCTTATTTGCCATGGCGGGATCGTGCTCACGCTGCACTTGTCTGCAAACGTTGGCTCAACGCATTTTGTTCTCCTGAAGTTTGGCGCTCATTTACATATCATCCACCAGCTCAAGGGCTACCAAGACTCCAGTATGATCTGAAAACCTACTACCTCAGCAAGTAACTGTGCAACCGTCTATTTACTTGCACCTGTAAATACTCTTTCCGATTTTTTATTCATATGGCCAGAGTCGGTGCCATTTTCCGTTGAGGTCGACTTGAAATGCTGAATCAGAATTAGAGTCCATGCGATGAATCTTGTCGAGTTTATATGAACTCATCCATTTTTCACCTTGAAGAGGGATTCGCAATATCGGTTGGCACATCCAATATCTTCGTTTCCCCGAGACTGGTGACTATTTCATGCTTAATCGCGCACTCTCCTTGATCGCGGAGTTCTTCGAGGCGCACCCCAATCCACACAAATTCTCTGCCAACTCGGTTGTCTCGACGGAGATTCTCTTCCCTGCGTTAGCTGCTCTGGAGGCCGCTTTGTCTCCCTCTTCCTCTTCATCTTCCTCTCTCTCCCCCTCCGAACACCGGAAGTCCTCTTTTGCTTCCTCTGCGGCGACTACAGACGATTCAAATGAGATGGAGAGGTCAGATCAGCAAGAAATGACGGAGGAGATACCCTTAAGCATTCTCGCTGAAGCCGTTGCCGGTGATCCGGATCTGGAAAAATCTATAAAACTTGCTATGAAGCTTCAACAAAGAGAATATGAACGTCGTTCGTCCTCATCGAACTCAAGCAGTTCCTTGGAGGTCTGTTTAGTTGGTAACTTTTATTTACATTAACATAGTGGTGTTAATTGTAATCCCCCCATTTTATTAACTTATTCGAGCTCAAAACTTACCAATTCACCATAAAAATATACATACGTTGTAACCTTTAAGTGACCGTTTCGGCTCCATCACATTGGTTTCGAAATCTTAAGCACTGACGTAAGGAAATACGCATCCCTCTGAATGTATGGAACTTGAAGACCTACACCTGACAAATTATTGCAGTTTAAGTAGTTGCCACAATCCAGTTCAACCATATTTCTATCTCAGCTACAATCTTGCTTTTTTCATCCAAGTAGAGTCATCAGGAATGTCGTTAATCAAAATTTTCCAAATTTAAAGTAATTTTTGGTAACTGACATACCTCTGACATTTGTTTGAAAAATCCAATTTGTTGCTTGCACAACTTCGCTTAGTTGCAATCCTTCTCCCGATTTGCAATGGCTCTACATCTTCCTCTATTTTTCGAGAACAACCCAATAGCAGGTTTTCGTTATGGATCATCAATGGCACTCAGTCAAAGTCGGATGTTATTGAACGATTTTGTCATAGGCGATAAAGAAATCGGAACCACGTCACTTACTTTTCCACTATTTCTTAAGCCTTTAGTCTGCTACCAGCTTTATTCTCATGACTATCCGGGCTCATGCACGTTTCCGAATTGCGCTTTTGACCTAGTCAAGGTGATTTTGCTGGGATTTTCAGCTGTCGTTAGTACGCGTTAGAGGAGGATGAAGGCTCAGACTTTGCAATATTTAGTTGACTAATTCATTTTTGAATGACCTCAAACCTTTGTCCTTACAGAGGTGTGAAACGATTGGAATCATTTCTGCTCCCTCTTTTAGCTGCCATTTACAGTCAATTTTCTGAATTCTGTCGTTCCTTTTTTGTGATGCTTTGGACTCTTAATGAGTTTAAAATGAGGAAAGTTGTCCAGCGCTATTTAAACCCAAACTATGCTTAACTTTGAAAGTAAACCCTTCCCGCAAACATGATTGCGCCCCTAAGGTTGCTACAGGTGTCCTTTTCTTTGATTTACTGGAAAACATTTTAAGTAATTTTGCTAGTAAGTAGTTGCATAAACTTCGAATTTTCCATAGAGCAGTAGGGAACCATTTTTGTGTCGCAGTACTTCACACGGTACAAGAATTTTTTCGTTTTTCAATGCTTATGGAAGGTAAGGAGAAAAAACGATAAACAATAGCAACATTATTTCGACTGAGTTATTAGTTGCTTGACGATAATGCTACAATACTGATGTATTGTTCTTGAACACCTAGCTTATTATTATTTGGCTTGTATGTCACCTGATGTTCCCTCACATGGGTTCTTTTCTGTATGCCCATGAATTCAATATACTATCATTAGTGCGGGTGCAACTAACCGTCGCAATTTTTCCTCAAATACTTCTCCGTGGATTGTTAAGAGGTTGGCATAGTGAAACTCCCACTAGTTACCTGAAACAACCTTAACTCGTTTCCTTCCCTTACTAGGTGAGAGAACAATACCAAGGGTTAAATACTCTTGAAAACTTGCCTGTGGGGCTCGTGGAAGCATATATAGGGTCGAAAATAGATTTGTCAGCCGGTACATTCCATCGACCGTCGTCCATTCTAAGTGAGGTGGGTTGCTTTAGTCCGTACGAAGTCAACGATTCGGTCGGCAATCGAGGTGTCTGAGTCGTGGGAGCAGACGTGCGACATCTGCCTTGTGCTTCTTGAAAGGCTGTCACTTGTGAGTGTCAAAGTGCAAGTTGATTGTTCAGTCTGGTTTTCTGCGATTAATTGGATTCAATTGATCCGACCAAAATGCTCTCACGTATAGCTTATCCGGTATTTTGAAACTGGATGTTCTGCGACTGGCCTTTTTGATCTGGTGTTTTTATTGCCGAAGGCGTTAGTTACAAGTTTGCTTTTCATTAATTGAGGTGGAGGTGGAAAATGTTGCGAATTCAGCTTTTTTATGTTCATTGCCCTTCTGTGCCTGAGAAGGGCTTGATCGTTGGGTTTTTAAAATCTACACAAAGACGCTCTCACTGACATTTGGATTTCATGGGTCATTAGAGGGCCCACTGTGAAACGACTGTTTGAATTACATTAGCACGTACGTTGTAAATTGGTGGTGATGGTTTTTGGTATTTGCCCTTCTCGTCCCATGGTCTCGTCCATGTTTTGAAAATTTAACTCTTTGCTTTGTGAAAAATTTTAGCCTATGCCTTGCGCATTTTAATAAACAAAATTCCTTGCGCATTTCCTGGCTCAATGGATAGGCAGATTTGCTATATTGCTATGGCGAAATGGAAGCTTAGTTGTTAGGACGCTCATCTTTTTGTGCAGAAACAAGAATAATTGACAGTTTGGTTGACAATGTGAGAGGTCATCTCCTATACTGTATTAGGCCTTTATACTACCCATCACTACAAGGTTGGATGTGAAACTCTTATTTGTAGATCTTACACCTTGTTTATTTAACGGCTCAGTGGTCTGGGGAAAATTTTATGTCATGCCATTTGCGGTACTCTATTTTACACGAATTTGTTCTCTCGGCATCTTCCGTTCACGAGATCTGTTCACCCTTCATCTATGGTCGGGATGTAGGTAACCTGGAAGTTTACAAGCTTCAAGTTCCTTAAACATTCGACATCACTCTTTTTCGGTTCGTAGACGAAGGTATACCTAACTCTGATGGTTACTTCTCCTATTCATTCCCAATTTCTTTTTAATGCTAAACTAAGCATCACATTTCTCCTTTATTTTGGAGAAATTAGTCTCTGCAACCGTTAACCATATTGCGCTAGTTGACGCTTTTATCTCGAAGGCAAATCATTGCAATGGGGCTCGAAAACACCTGCAGTTCTTGATGCGTACCGCAAATGCAACATTTCATATTTATAATTATGATACCCTTTGGCAGAACCATTGCTCTGCGTATTTGCTTGATCAATCACTGCATAACCTGCGTTTGATTGTGTAATTTACACCCCAGAGCGGAATTGGGATCAGTTCTCACTCGCGTACTGGCGCATCCTCGCAGCTCTCAAGCTCAGCACCGATCCGCTTCCAGTTTCGGAGCGCCTCCACTACTGCGCCGCCATCAACATCAGCAGTGACAGGTGCACGCGGCCGTCGATACCAGCGCAGCGTGAGTTGCAAGTTTCCCTGCCCTTCAAATCGACTACCCTATCCTCCGGACACCTCTAATTTTCCTCCGCCTTGTGTACGAGCATTCTCTCTTGACTTCCACGCCGAATTCGACGAGGCCTCGGGTGTCGTTTATGGAAGCGGTGGCGCACTTTTCGCTACTATCGTTCGTGTTCTCTCACAACTCAAGTGTCTCCGTGCTCTCTATCTTCGCAACCTCTTTCTCTCACAATCTGATGCTCGCCAACTTTTAATCGAGGTCTCGACTGTACGTCATTTCCCATTTTCTATCTCATCTAATAGCACTGCAATGAAGTACCTGTAATTGAGGGTATTTCAAGTCGTATTCTGCATTCTTGCCATTTTTATTTGACTAACAGATTCATGTTTCTGTTAAATTCACCTTAAGGCTGATTCCCTAGCACTATAACAATGATACTTTCGCTGACCTCAATTGTTATCTCATACCGATATGTAAGTCTGATAGTGGTTCCTTATTTAAATTTATGTGAGACAATTTAATGTGGTTTTTGTTAAACCGTCCCAGTCTTCTTCAAATCGTGACATTAGTTACAAATATAGATTAGCATTTCGTTGACATCACGCCCTGACTCCTTTTACCGTAAATGGTAGAACTTTTCCTTTTACCTCGGGTTTAATTGCCTCGGATATAGTGAATTGGTGTCCAATCTGGATTTTTCTTAAGTCGATAAGATTGGGGCTCGTTGTTCTAATTGTGTTGCTTTCTTCAGATCGTTATTCCTGATAATTTCGTTGCTTCCTTATGCTACCACCAGGCTTGTGGAAGGCGTTGTGCTAGTGAAAGTGGAACTACGATGACGATCTGGTTTTGATGCATGCAAGGCATTTTTCTCATTGGCGATTGATGGAGTTCAAGATCCCAAGGTTAACCCAATCTGACCATATGTTATCGAAGATCGTATTTAAACGTACATTAAGCCTGTATTTCCCACTTTCTCAACTTAATTGTTTGTGTCCTCTGCGGTTAAGTCGTAATGATTTAGAATTTACAGCCAATTCTGGACGCAGGTTTGGACTAACACTAACATCCACGTCATCCGATGGTATAGTAGTCGATGAAGTTTAAAACAAGTCAAGTTTTGTTGGGTGTGGATATCGTTCCGAAGCAGCGCT